ATGAAAAGTTCGAATAAACTTAAGATAATTAAGACAGAACAATCATATGCAGTAATTCAGATGTGATTTTATTAAAAGTTTACTTAAAACTTTTTCACTAAGAGTAATACTAGTCTTATAAGGAGGCATACAAAGAGTCAAATCTAACCTTTAAAAGAAGGGAAAAAGAGAAAGAGAAAGGAACAATCATGAATTTTAAGGGCTAGATTTGACTCTTTGAACGACTCTTTGTAAGGTTAGTATTACTCTTTCACTAAAAGATCACAAAAGAAGAAATCGGCCAATCCTCCACCACAATCACAATAAAGAGAAGCAAATCAAGATTGGCCATGCATGACATGAGCACGAGGGTTTACATGTGACAAGTTCAATTGTTTTGACCATTCAACAGACATTGAGATTTGAGACTTTTCAATCAAACTGGATTGATTTGCACTCATTACCTAACTTTTATTTTTATCACTCGGCCCCCTACCCTCACCCATCACAATTTCTCAGACCCTTGAGAGAAACTCGATCCATTCCCAAAACTAAACCTCTCATTAACTTGGTTTGGAGTTTATCGAGGAACCCACATTTCCGGGGGTTTGAATTCCCAGCCTAACATTCTTGTTTTGTAGCCGATTCTATAACATTACACCAGCATTGTCGGTCCAAGCTCCAAGGGGCCACCCATTAATGTGATCTCTACAATTTTATTCTTCCTATTTTGTATGATCAAGAACATATAATTAAGTGCCGGTTTAATATAAAATTTAAATGTAATTACTTATTTTTAATACAGTATAAGGAATGTTAAGAATTTTAAAAAATATATTTGATTGAATGTTGCTGGTGCCAAAATTCCACATCGGTTAGGAGATGAGGGCCACCCTCGCCATCCATATGCGTTTTTTTCCTGGATAAAACTGTGCAGGAAACCACCTATTCTGGTTCATACATTGTTCAATCACAAATAAATTTTTAACTATGCCCATTTAAGAGCGAGTCTATCGTTTGACAAGGATCTTCCTCCTACCAAGAGTGTGAGAAGACCTAAAAATTAGATGATTGCACAGATTGAGTGGACGAGAAATGGATATGCATGCATCCACGAAGCGCCATTAATGCGAAATCTCATTTATGGGATTCTCTATCCTTCTATATCAGACAGCAAGAATCAAAAACTTGAACAATAATTGGTAAACGACATATTAAAAGCCAGTTCCCATCCATATGGTTTTCAATTTGATTGTATCTGTATGTAGTTGAATTTCTGCATGATGGTTGGGAGAATGATTGTTGAGGCCCCATGCAATGCACACGAGGGCGTTCGTTCCTGGCTGGATCCAACTGGCCGATATCTTAAATGCCATTGCTATGTACAAAATATCATTGTCCATCTGCTTGCATTTCTTTAATTTCGATCCTCTATCTGTTCTTGTGATATGAAGGGTCAAATGGTTAGGTTCTACCCAATAAAGATTGAATTTTAAGAGAGGGTTCCACTTTGATCTTGCGAAATTCGGAGCAGTTAATGACCTGGGACCATGCTGGTTTAAGTAGATTAATAAGTAACATATTAATCTAAACCTATTCCGACATCAATATGTTATTTACGGTCACTCTAAAATTGCATCGACAGAGATCATGAGGAAAAGCCTATGATGATGCTAAGATTGACTTGTAATCGGCTAAAAAGACTATATACGTAATTACAGATCATCTCTCCTGTGATATTGTATTATGTCAAGAGAGGTGATTTATTTTTGTTAGTGTCAAAGTCTTACATCGGTTAAGAGACGAAGACATTGATCGTTTATATAGTATAAAGACACTCTCAACTCTTACAGATGTCTTTTCATAACAAAATCATACGGAGTCATAAGATCTAAATCTGATAATATCTATATGAATCCATCTACCTTCTCTCATCCCCGTCTTTGGGTATGCAAAAAACTAGTTGGGAAAGTATATTTTTCCTTTAATAAGGATTATTGGAAACAAGTTATAGGATTCATTATCTTCATTAATGAGGTTGGAAATAATGATAATCATATGCTAACAATAAACAAAAATCGTCTTTTTCATATCATGTTGTAATATAATAAAAGAATTATTGAGGGCTTCTAGGTGTACACGCACGCTGAAAGAGACTGGGTGGCTACCTCGGTCGGTCACAATCAGAAACGACGATCGAGAGTCGTCAAACGTCAACCTTTTTCTTCCAGCCTGTCATCTCTTGAGCCACATTCATCAAACACAAACTCTTCCTTCCTTCTCTTCATCAATTGTGCCTGAACTACTTCTCCAATGAATGGACGACTCTAGTGAAACGACAGAATTACTCCCAGAGTTATACCAATGAAGTGATAAAACCTTTTGGAATTATTCATTTTGGTTGATCAGTTTATTACTGATTTGCATTGTTTATGTAGAAGTTAAACTAAGCGAATTGAAAGACTGTAGTATAGACTGCAACCCCAGTCGTCATATGCTTGGTGTCTTCAAAAAGAACACCGAGATTTTCAGAAGTTTTGTTAACTTCCAGATGGTCAATTTGCTGTCACTTTGTTCTTTCATTTATCATCCGTTTCAGGATCCCATATTTGTATAAATGTCAAAAAGATTGATCAAATCAAGTTACATTTATTAATATAGCAAATGGGGTCATGTTTTTTTTTTACATGGATTTCTCTTTCTTTTACAGCTATCTTAGTTCCAGGGAACAATCAGAATATCGATCGGCTCAATTTCATGCAGACAAAACTAGAAAATACACAAGTAACTTATTGGGAGAATGACATTTTCCCAACTAAGGTTTCGCAAAACGACACTTTTTCACCCGTCAAATTTCAAAATGACACTTTTTCACCTTTTCTGTTAGTATTTTTTGTTAATATTGATTGAAAAGACAAAAATACCCTTTAATAGTTTATTTCTTAATTAGTTTATTTTAAATTAAAATTTAGTTAAATCAAAATCTTTACTCGATTATTTATTAGTTCAAATATTAAAATATATTTTTTCCTTTGTTTATTTAATTAATTAGGACTATTGATTTTTTATGTTAATTAGTAAAAACGAAAAAATATTATATTATGAAAAATATTATAAATTTAGTAGATTATTGAATAATAGTGATGATATTATAAAAATAAATATTAAGGGCTCCATTTGGTTCAAAATTTGGGGGTTTTGGGAAAAGTTTTTTGAAAAAAGTTAAAAAAAAGTGAATTGGGTGGGTATTACGATGTAGAATTTATAAATTAATAAAATACCTTTTATGTTTATTTTTTTTACAAAATACCCCTTATAATAAAACATAAAAGTTAACAAAATACCCCTAACCCACCCTCAAACACCCCAGCCGGCGACCACCACCAGAGGTAGCCGGAGTCGCCTTATGGGCGCATACCGGTTGGATCTTGCCGGTCATGCGTCGCTATGGCCTTTTCCGGCCAGATCACGGTGGATCTGGCCGAAAAAGGCCAGATCTACGTCAGATCTGGCCGTATTTGCTCTCAACGACGGCCAACAACGGTCGTCGTTGAGGTCACGAAAAGCAGCTTGTTGGCCGTCGTGACCGACTGTTACGGCCAAAGATCTGGCCGTCAACGGCCAGATCTTTGGCCTAGATCTGGCCTTTCCGGCCAGATCCACCGTGGATCTGGCCGAAAAAGGCTAGATCGGTGCACTACCGGCCAGATTCAGCCGGTAGTGCGCCATCCTACCAGATTCCGGTCATTTTCCGGTGGTGGTGGCCGGAATCTGGTAAATGTGGATTATTGGGTGTTTTGTGAATTTAAAAAAATATTTAGGGGTATTTAATTAAATTATCAAATTTAAGGGGTTTAAAAAAAGTTGAATAATATTGGGAGTAGTATTCCCAAAAATCTGAGTTTTTGGGTATTTTACTGTTTAACTTTTTTGGGAATACTAAAAGTAGTATTCCCAAAACTGAAACAAACGCAACCAAGGTTGTTTAATTTTAATGTCACTCTTAACTTTGTTGATGGGGCAACTATTTTTTTTTTTTTTGACTTTTTGGCCAATTAAAAAATAATAAGAAATTTATAAAATCAAATGTTTAAGGGAATTTTTGTCTTTTCAGTGAAATATTAACGGAAAACATAACAGAATCTAACAAAGGGTGGGAAAGTGTCATTTTGAAACTTAAAGGGTGGGAAAAGGTCGTTTTGCCAAACCTTGGGTGGGAAAATGCTGTAACTTATTCCAAAAGTGTCTATTTCTACCAGGAGATATATACCTAAAGGACAAAGGAATAAAAGATATTATAGACTACGAGTTTAGAATGACACTTTACAAGAAGTGACAAAAAACTTTTAAATGGGTAGATTAGAATTTGTAGCTATCTGGAACAGGTGCTAACTACAAAGAGTAAACGAGTTTTTCCCACCCAAAAAATTTTAAAATACCACTTTTTCACCCAAAGTTAATATTCTGATTTCCGTTACTACCCAAAGCCAATTCCAATAGTGAAAATCATCTCCGCCACCATCATTTAAACCTTCAATCTCCTTTCTGTAAAATCTCTCTCACTCCTGTATTTGATTTCTCATCGATTATCGGCCACCGTAAAGCTAGAATTTCCTATTCTTAGCTAATTTCTAGCAGATTTTAGTGTCGAATATTCAATCGATTACCATCATTCAATCTATTGTCTTCCGCTCTACAAAACCCCTCTTAACTTGGTTCCTAGTAACTCGCTGAAGGCCGAATGAGAAAATGAAATGTATTTTGGGTATTATCATAATATAAACTTTGGGTGAAAAAGTGATATTTTGAAAATTTTTAATGGGAAAAGGTCATTAAGGCAAACCTTGGATGGGAAAAAGTTGTTTAGTCTAACTACCAACTCTCCATCGTTTGTCCCCAGAAAAAAACCCAATTCAGAAATTATTAATTTATTCAATTTTTGGTAATATTAAGGGTTACTTAACAATTAATTAGCATTAAATTCATCTACATAATTGGAGCAAACCTAGACCTTTGGATCTACCATGTCATTAAAGGTACCAAAACCTACCTTTCCCTCTCCCTTTTCAGCTATAAATAGACATTGCCATGCGGTCGAATGAAGTCAATCCAGAAGCAGAAATTTATCAGCATTTTTATTCTTCTGAGTTGTTATTTGTAACCTTGGCAAAATGGCGGCAAAGTTCAACAATATTGAAACTCAGGTGCCGGAATCTGACACTGATATGAACATCCCTGGAATCCAAACCCAGGCGATTGTGCAATCACTCTACAGTGCATTGGCTCATGGGGACATGGACACCGTGTCCAAGCTTTTAGCAAGTGACCTGGAATGGTGGTTCCATGGACCTCCAAAATGCCAATACATGATGAAGCTGCTCACTGGGGAGTCGAGCCAGGCCACGTTCAAGTTCGAGCCAAGAAGCATAGATATGGTTGGCGATTCGGTCATTGCTGAGGGATGGGAAGGAGCAAAAGCTTATTGGGTGCACGTATGGACTGTGAAAGATGGTCTGATAACACAATTCCGAGAGTACTTCAATACATGGCTCACCGTGAGGGACCTGCGGCCACCGCGTTGGGAAATTAGACAAGTGAACCACACTTTGTGGCAGAGCCAGCCGCGGGATCTTGCACGCCGCTCGTTGCCTGGCGTTTTGCTTGCAATTTAGTGGCTGAAGACAAGACAGGCCCTAAAATGAATCAATGGACCTACCTGATTAGATTATCTATATTTTGTGATGTAAATTATGTGAATGTGACCAATGTATTACTGCATTTGGGCTTTTAGAATTATCGTTAACGAGAAAGGTGGCTTAGTGATTATCTTCTTAAAACTTGAAAATTACTAACAGTGGATATCCTGAGGACTAAACAAGTTGATTCGCAGATTCGGCTGACGGGTTTTCACTTTCAGGGCCATGAGTCTGATATGGCGGCAACTGTCAATTACGAACAAAAAGCAGAATAAATAATAGAGATCTGACAATTGGTTTAGAAAGTCTGGTCTATTCAATCATTAAATAAACATCTTTTTATAGAAATTTTTAGATATGAACACTAATCTTGTTAATGTAATTTAGGTAAAGCAGAACTTCCTAATCTGAAAATCAGTTTGACTGACATGGGAGACTCGAGTTTGAAGCTATAGCTTACATTTGTTGACTGGATGAGATGTATCATCAAATACCCTTCACAATCCAAATGAAAGGTTCTATACGATTGAGATGAAGCTAAAATTGCAGTGGACCTAAGAAGGCAATAATTGGGAGAAACAGAAAAATGCATGATCGTAACATTACAAGCAATCTTGATATCAATCTCTTTCTCTTGCCGGATTCATGTTACAAATGAAAGCTCTTGTTTTTGATAGGGTGGTACATATGATGAGCGACCACTAGGGAGTCAAAGCGTGGCCACATTTGAGTCGGAAAAGAAATTAGGCATCATAACCTCACCTTGTTGCAGGGCCAGCCCAGGGAATCTTGAAAGTGACCAAAGTGTTTGGGATTGGAGGCCTCATTGGAGCTGGAGATGCCTGAAATTGGACTTAAATAACACCATTTTATATCATATCTATTTGACAAACTGTATATTATATGACCATTATCATGTGGGCTATATGGCCACAACTAGCTCTCGTTACTAGAAAAAAAGGGGAACAGAGAATAGGGATTTCAAAGGTTCCATGACTTCAAACTATAGCTTACACTGGCCTGTATGTGACTGGTGTCTGGTTTTGTGTGCTTCATTTGTCTATTGTTAATTTATGTTGTCATGAATAAATATATCATTTGAAAACAACCATACTGACATTTACAGTCATGTTGATCTCTGACTTGTGTAATATGAATGGTGGCGGAAGGTTGAAACTTTCAGCGTCAATACAATTCTAAGCTAATGCCATGAAGTCAGAAAAAGAATCAGAGGTTTTCCAACAAAATTCAAGAGTTGGTAAGGATTCGTCGTATTACGCATACTAGAAGGTGAGTGGGAAAATGAAAAAGAAAAAGAGGGAATTTATAGAAATTAACATACCGTTCTACAGATTTCTCCACCCAAAAAGCTACAAAGCTGGGTGTTTGTCTTTAAATGTGTCAATAGTAATCTACTCTTTACAGTTTTTGATTGGTATTGTCTTCTCTCAGCATTGATGGCCAAACAGGAGGCTTCATATAATTGTCATCATCCTTTGAGGAATAGTCTACTTCCAGATTTAAGAGCTGTCTATGTGGACTATAGTGATCCATTGGAAATCTGCCTGGACTTGGAGAATTTTCAGTCCCTAACCTGGACGGTCCAGGGCTATCCCAAATGGGAGAAGTTGGACTGGATCTGAATTGAACCGATCCATCTTCACGCCGTAATGGAGACAGGGTTGGTTGGTCATGTTCATCAGTTTGTTTCCTGCAAAACTTATCTTCCAGAATATCATAATAATCAGCTGTTCGGACTTCCTGAGCAAGAGAGCACCAACAACAGAAAAGCCATTGAGCACAATCCGCAATGTCTGGCTTTCCACAACATGAGTTATTTGCTGGCAAATTGAATCTCTTTCTCATTTGGATCCTCCAGAAGCCACCATAGAGGACACCAAAAACACAAAGAATTACACCTGTTAATCCCAAAGCTTCCCTGACAGTCTCATTATCAATATTGACAGCAGCCAAGTTGAAAATCCAAAATGGTGCCGTGCAAAAGAGGAGGAAAGTTGCAAAATGAACATACATATTCCCGAAACCAAGTCTTTCCAGGTTCCACCCTAAAACACAAAAGCTACAGAAAACAGAAAGATATGCTACAACAATATCATCCCAAATGTCAAATAACCCCCCTCTCCATACAGGTGCATGCTCAAGAGTTCTGTGCTCATTTCTTGATGCAAATGAAAATCGTTTCTCCAATGACAACTTCCAGCTGTTGGGATTGCCTGTACTGTTCATGAAAGTTTGATCCTGAGCTTCTGGATCAACTTGTGAATCATACTCCTTTCCTAGTGGGCTAACAATGGAGTACACACCTGCAGCCGCAGGAGCAGCAATGGCAACACTGAGGCAGATAGCAACACCGATAGCAGGTCGTTCAGATCTTCTGTATCCTAAATTAAGGCCACATAGTGCATACTGAGCAAAGCAATTCAAATGGAGTAACAAAACTACCACCATCATATGCGCCCATTCATGGGGCTTGTAAGTGCCATTCTTACAGTATATTTTTCTAAGTGCAGTGACATCCTTTGGATTCCACCGTATCAGGAGTACAAAGTGGTGAAACCGCTTTGGGTGTTGGTATAGACACATAAGAGTAAAGAGAGCATTAAGGATTTGATTATTGACCTCAAACCAGGCATCTCGCTCTGACTTCTTTGATAGGACACCATTAAGCATTCCTGTCATAACAAGAAAAAGGATTGCTCCAGAGACGGCAACGCAAGTTATCCATAAAAAGAGAGTCATGTTCAAAGGATTCTTGATCCACTCTTGGCAGATTTTTGATAGAGATGTCCAATCAATTTTCTTAGCAAGGATCCCACTGAAACGTTGTCGGAACCGTTGGCTGGTAGAAGAGGGTACAGAACGTGATATATCATCTTTTTCTTTAGCAATCTGCCGAAATTTAGATGTTGGAGAATGTAAATTGCCACTGGAACCCACTTTCAGTAAGTTAAATTTACTGGAAATAATTGCCAATTTAACCTGACTCCTCGTTCTAGGCTTTTCATCGTTCAGCAAACCCTCTTCAGACATTGAAGTTTCAACAGAACTTTCTCCATTACAACCATCAGAAGCCCCAACGGAAGGCATTTTATCATGAACTTCAGCTAAGCCTACTCCATCTCTGTTTGAAACCATTATACCTCAATTTTTCAGTTCTTGAGTTTCTTATGATCCAAAATTTCTTAACAACCGAGCCAAAAATCACTGCTACCGTCTACACCATGATGGCGCCGCCACCACCAGAGGAATCCAAAATCTATACTACTTTTCGTTCACAATCTTCTACAAGTTCATGCTAGAAAAAAATAATAAAATAAAACACAAATCATATACTACTAAAATTGATCATTGCAAGAGTTCCTGAAAAATTTTCAAAAGCACAAATAACATTCTGAACAAATCAAACCACAAGTCTTTCGATTAAAAACAAAACCAGCTCAAATTGAAAACAAGATAAACTTCTATTTACATTCTAATCAACTCAAAGAAGAAGAAGTTTTCAAAATTAAAGCAGGAGTAGTCGATGGCGATCAAAATTCACAAAAAAAAAAGAAAAAAAAAAAACCTTACTCTCATCAACAAGTCCAAGTTTTGGTAATAAACCTGGGAACAATATCACATTAAAGACAAAAATACAACATAAACTTTATCACATACCCAGAATGTGAATCAACATTACCAGGAAAAGAATTAAAATTCAAATTCACAAATGTTGGAAGGAAAACGTTAAAACAAAAATTCAAAGCGTTAAAACTTAAAACTCATACCTAAGGTTGGTCGGGTCATGAAACAAAACTGGAGTTTGTCTCATGCTCTTGTTTCCATACTTGAAACAGAAGCTTTCTTTTAACCAAGTCCGGCGGTGACACAACACAACACAATACAACAACACATCAATAAACCTCGGTTACAAAAGCTGAGAATTAAATTGACTAGTAGTTTATTATTATTAACATCATTAAAGAAAGAGAGAAAGAGAAAGAGAAAGAGAGGGAGAGCGGCACTTCTTTTTTTGAGTTTCAAATATTTGGAAACAGAAACGGCAGCAGTTTTTTGTTTTTTTGTTGTCACTTTTTCTTTATTGTCTTGTTGTGTTGCGTCTTTAGACTCTTTACTCTTTCCTTAACACGGTTTCACGGACTCCCGGATCCCAAAAATAAATTAAAAAAAGAAAATAAAATTATTGGTCAAGAAACGTGACCTTTAACTTTATTCTTTTACTTTTCTTGATATTCTCATGGGTGATTCATTTCGCACTAAGTTCGTGGTAGCCTCGTTCCAATTGTGAGTACAAAACGTTTAAACTATGAATAGCCATTTATGTTATTTATTTAATGGTGTGATTTGGTTTTAAAACATTTGGATTTAGATGATAAATTAATCTTAATTGGGTTTTTTTTATTGTTGCGATAATCTTATAAATTGTTCGTGTTTTTTTCTATTTGTTTCTGGAAGACGGCTAAGAATTAGAAAGTCAAAAGTAAATCTTCTTTGCTGTTGGACATTGGAAATGTGTTGGCAACCTAGATGTACAAGTTTCCACCCTTTTATTCGGCTATCTGGTCGCCGTAACAAGGAACAAAAAAACACGATTCACGACTCACGGTGATAGGCATATTAAGACATAAGTAGAAAAAAAATTATTTAAAAAAAATAAACTTTTTCATATTATTAATTGAGTAAATGATTTTTTCTCGTTAAAGGTTTGCCTTAACGACACCTTCCCATCTAAAAAGTTTTAAAATATCACTTTTGTTTATATTCAATTAATACTTAAAATATATTTCACTTTCTCAAATAGCGATAGGATAAAAGGGTTTTTGTAGAGTAAAAGTCGATGGATCGAATGGTGATGATTAATTAAATATATCATTGGAATAAGTTGAAAATCAGTTAAGAATAAGAAATCTTAAATTTACGATGGCCGACAATCAACAAAAAATCATGTGCTGGAGTGAGAAAGATTTTATAGAAAGGAGATCGAAGATTTAAATGGTGGTGACGAAGAAAATTTTTGCCACCAAAATTGGTTTTAAGTAATAACGAAATATTAACTTTGAGTAGGAAAGTGGTATTCAAAAATCTTTGGGTGGGAAAAAGTAGTTTACTCTTATTAGTATAATAAAAATTTTAGTGCACAAAATGACAAAAGTATTATCTTTGCCTAAGATTTACCTAAGTAGTGGTGTCGGTAGATTGATGTGGCTTGTGAGATAACTTCTCATAGATTAATTGAAATACGCATAAATTAACTTAAACATCTTAATTAAAAGAAAAAAAAAAATTAATTAATTAATTTATTTAAACAAACCCACTAGTTCATTTACCTCTTCGCATCAATGGATAATCATGGCATGTGGGGTGATAAATCAACGTTTTAAATTTAAAATTTAAAATTTGCATGGTTGACAGTTAGCATATGGCGAAGTCATCAATACAATGCCCTTTGTAATAGATAATACAGCAAATTAAGCAACAAATCGAAAGCGAAATCCAACCAAAATTACAGCATTTAATTTACTTATTAACGAGATAACAGCCAACTCTGGACACTTGGCAATAACTTCTTCGTTAGCCAGTTCAAAGGCAACAACACACCAAGCCACCGATGTCTCCATAATAAACCAGACGGGTAGATACAACAAACTTATACGAACCTTGCTGATCCCAGATCAAGCAGTGTACGGAAGAACTGATGGGGATACATGGGAGGTTGTTCAGCTAGTGCCTGAGACGTGTACAAGTACAACATAATTAAATATGTTAGCAGTCATGTAAGTAGTATCTTTGTCGTGAAAATTGAATTATTTTACTGTTTTATGAACTAAAATATTTCATCTGTAAGGTGACAAACTTGGTGTATACAGATGTTATGTTTGACACCAAGCCAGTTCACCAAAACAATATAAGATAATATGCGACATCTAAATTAGGAGTCATAATTTTACCTGATGTATCAGGACAGTGGATGGAGTCATTCCAGGAACAGTATTCACCTCTATGATCAATACCTGAAAAGAATGAAATTGACCATGGATTAAATACGAAGTATCTGAATCATTCATCAAGAAACAAAACCTAAATGGCAAAGGATTCACTTAAAATCTTCTTATATCCAATCAAGCAGGTGCAGAGAGAAGATTACATCTGTAGAGAAAAATGATAATGCTATCCTTTCATTTGGACATATGGAACATGGTACGTATCGAGAAATCTAGGTTTAAAGAATATACTAAACCACATTAAGAGTTGATATAAACCATCTCACGCACATTCATATTTCATAATGTACACGGCAGAAGTCTGTCAGTGCAGACCTAACGCATATCGAAACTCCTAACGAGGAAAATTTGGAAAACGCTTGTCATATACTATAAAATTGCCAAGAATCCTGTTGTAGTTCATTCTAATGATTGTACATGTATTACATTACATTTAGAATGATAAAAAAGAAAATAAACATAAGCTTACATCGTGCTTTTTTATTAAAGGAAAAGGCAAAAAAACGTCCTGTGAATCACAAAAGTCAACATACCTCTCCACTATCAGCATTGACAAATGCATCAATTCGTGAAAATCCTTCTAATTGCAGAGTGTTCGCAATTAGTTCAATGTGTTGTTTACATTTCTCCAGAGCCTCATTCCTAAATCAAAAAGACAATACATAAATAATTCAACAAATTACTGATCCAAAATGGAAAGAAATTTTGAAAAGAAGAAATAAAACCGAATGGAAGAGCTTGGCACAAGCCTTGTACAAGATATTCAATCAAGTTAATATGGGGAAATGAAAGTTAAACATCTGAATTCAGTCTTAAAACGATAGCACTTATATTATCAATTCCCATCCTCTACAGAATGCGTATCTTCTTTTGACAGCCTAAAAGTAAATTTATGAATGCGTAACTTTTCAACTGGCTGAAGCAGAGTAATGTGATTGAATGCTTCTTTCAAGAATGAAATGTGGTATAATAGAAGCAGCCATAGTGCATAAATGTAAAATCAAAAGGTCAGGGTTCTTAACGAACCTAATAATTGATGCTGGAGGTGGAGTGAGATTAATGCCAGTTCCACCTGTCAAAAAATACATACACTAATACGTGAAAAACTGCTTTTGTATACAAAATTTTCAGGTCCCATTTTTCCCTTTTTTCTTTAAAACATACGAGGCAAATACATAGTGTAAGAATACAAAAATTTAGTCAAACTCTAAAGAAGATATTTGATAGAAATGTTCTCATACTTATTAATGAGCTTGTTCAAATACTAGAAATGCGCAGTTTGATAATTTGCTAAAAAATTGAATCATAGCCTAAGTGATGCCATTGGTACATCTAGATGATTTGAAGGTTGCAGACCAAAAACTCCAAAAAAGAGAAGTCCAATGGGAAAGATTAAGCCATAAAAAATCGTGAATGAAATGCACCTTGAAATTTTTCCTCAAGTGATAAGATGTCACCAGTTTCTTTGACAGTAACACTAGGCATCAATGAATGCATTGATCCACATTTTCCTATTACACCAACTGTAACTTCTACCCACCGACTGTCTCCTTTCCACAATAGGCGATGCGCATTCTCATTTGTGGATTTTGATGAAAATACTATCTCATCAGTCTCAATAAAAGGTTCAAAGATCAAGAGCTCTGGAGAAGGGTTTGGCATCTCAATCATTCCATGTGCCTAGAAAGTATTCAAAAAAGAAATAAACAGGTCATAAGATAAAATCTTGCTGATGTTATTGTGGACAAAATGGTAACGTTGAAGAACGTTCAATTTTTTTTCCATTTTACGACAAAAATTAATGCATATGCTCAACAATTAAAAGAATTGTACATAAGAGAGGAGATAGTCATTAAGATCTTGTTTATCTATTTCAGAGACTTCACAGGACCCACACAAATTCTATTACCTAACTGTTACACTTAATCATTTTCTAATTGGCATTTGCCAGTAACACTGTCATTAAAAATAAAACATAGACCGCAGGTTGATAATTATTAACATATATTCTAACAAGATAAGGGTATAAACTATTTTGAATGAGACGGCATGAAAGACGAATATCCAGGCTTCTATACCCTTGAAAAACTATTAGGAGGAATACGTAGAAGACACTCCTCCAGTGCTTTCACATACACCGCAAGATCCTCTGCAGAGCTGCATGAACAAAAGAATAAGCATAATATAGATTAAAGCAATTAAAAAAGAGTATTACCATAGATGTATATGATATCAGTTTGAGCAAATGACACATTCACAAACATCACAATCATTCAACAACAGAGACAGGTCAGAAAGAAGAAATAACCAACCATAATCTTGCAACACCAGTTGAGCATCCATCCCTTGCTGGTTTAACACATAAAGTTTCACACTGCAGCTTAGAGGTCAGCTCATGCCAAATCTCAGGTATGGGTATATTAAATAAATCCTCCTTCTTCCTCACATCTTTATTTATTGTAAGTACTCCCATGTCAGCTAGCTGTTAATTTCCAGAAAGAAAATTGCTTGAGTTTAAAAAGCCATTGTTAGGTAATTCCTCAAAAGTTTAACTGTTGGAATTATGGTTATCTAAACAAATTAATAATTGAAGCTATTACAAGAAACGACATCATACATATTACTCGTTACCATACATGATTAAGTGCTAATGATGTTGCAACTTTGTCCATACAAGTTTTAGAAGCCATAACACCAGGACCTTCATACGAAAGGAGTCAAGGGAGGGAAAAAAAAAAAAAAAGAGAGAGAGAGAAAATAAGCACATTTATAAAGAAAAACCAATTCTTCCTCCAAGTGTCAATGAGAATAAACCTGTATAAGGGACTCCTTCTGCCTCCAGCAAGGATTGAAGAGTACCATCTTCACCAATTCCCCCATGAACTGTAGATAACATTGGTTTAGCTCATAATGAAAAAAAAAAAAATTTTGGTTCTTCTACTTCTTTTAACGATACCAACCAAACAGTGAAAGTAACACTCCTACTATGTTAGTGTACTATACACTTCAAGGAGTTCTGATGTAAGTGTAATCTTCCATGATACGTATAGTCAATACGCTTAAAATCATGATTGAATATAGCCAGAGAAAAATATAGAGGAAACAATAAACACTAAGAAGTACATGGACATAGGTGCCAGTTATTGTAGCTAGAAAAATCTCTTGATGTCATACAAAAAACTTGAGACCAAATCCTGCCTTCATTAGAGGGATTGGGAAGGTTAAAAGAGTAAAAAGGTCTAGCCAACTGTGTATCTTAGCCAAGAAAAAGAGAAACAAAAAGAAAAAGCAGTTGAAATCTAACCTGCAATAAAAACTGTTGCCTGAACATCCTTGGCAATCTTGATCCACTCCTCCAATGAAAATCTCTTAGGCAGTTCATCAGCTATATCAAACCCTGTAAACCAACTGTGTTTCTTCAAACCTTCTGTCAGATTATTCATCACTTGGTTCCTTAAGTGAGATGTAAATGCAGCCCGAGCTGGTTCAATTGCTTCAATGCATGCAGCAAGGACTTCCTCAGTTGTGTGTCTCAGCACAAGAGAGTAACTGCGTTTTTTTATTTTTGGGTTTTTTAAGAAGAGAAATAAAATAGCATTATGTTGGACTAACGTAATAGAGAAGGTGAGAGATTACAAAACCCAAGAGTTCATGAATTTCTGAAGATTCTAAAATTTACTAGTCATGAAGAGCCTAGAAAGCAAAATGGAAAACCCAAAAAAGCAAAGATGATATATTTAACTGACAAGGTGATATAAAATTGGCAAATCTGCTAAAAACAGCAACCTTAGTAAAGAGGCCAGAAGAATGAAATCTGTACTTACGGTAGTGACCAGACCTCTCTGGAGCTCACATCAGAATCCCTTTTTTCAGGATCTGTACCAGAAGAGTCAATTGAAGGAGCAAGCAAACAAGGAGTTACTTCAATCTGCAGATACACAATATTCCAATTTCAGACAGTATGATGCCTATAGCATACTTCAATCAGAAATTAAAACTTTTATAACATGCAATAATTGCAAGATTTCTTAAACTTACATCGTCGAATCCCTGCAAATTGAGCCATACATTTGTTCCACTCATGAGGGATACTTGCCGTTCTGAAGTGTCTCCTCCAAATATGACAAAAACCTTACGACTACCTTCATATTTGTTGAGTGCTTTAGTAAGATGTGCAGCATTTAATCTACCAGGCAAATGACTTGACAAACTATTGTTTGATACAAGATTGGGAAATCTCGAGCAAGCACGACGAATAACTGTTCGAAGAATGTTTGAATGGGAAAATCCAACCTGAACATGAGAAGGGATCTTTTTGAGGAACAGTGGCAGTTGGAAAAGGATGGATGATACTTAAAACTTAGGACGGAATATATTGAACATGAAAAAGAATCTGTCTAAAATTAATTTTAGGGAAAAATATATAAAACATTTATCAGCAAATACACAAAGATAATCTTCCCTCAAATCTAAGAGTTATGATCAGGAGACTTTCAAACAGGACAAAAATGTTTTGAACTCTCCCAATCCATACTCAAGATCACCAGAGGCAGTTACCAAAGAATCATTTATAATGTACTTGGTTAAAATGCACATTTCATCAACACTATTAAGTATATAGATGATGTGCTGGCCAAATAGCACCATGTGATATATTTTTACTTCAAATCAGCTTAGAGGCCATGATTACAACTTTCATTTTAATGACCATTCAAAACATTATTCAAACTTCCAAGTTACCTTTGATGCTTGCTGAAACAAGAAGCTTGTCTGTTCCATCCCGCTAATCTGATAGATGGAGTTTACATTGATAAGAGTCATGTAAGGAGAATCAATGACAGAATCAGAGTGAAAAAGTTAAGAGATTTATCTCACCAGGTTAATGTCAGTAAATAAAATTGTACCGGATTCAGTTCTCCCATATTTGTTTTCTGAAGATGAAAATACACTTGTAGAAGAAGGCAAAAACCATCCATCAATTCGAGCAAAATCACGTAGTCCAAGCCGTTGGAATAACAGGGATGCACCTTCTTGAATACTTTTAATTACATCAATAGGAAAACGAGGTGGAGTGTGATAAACAACCTGTGAAGTACATAAGCTTCTCTCAGAATCAGAAAGACGAAGGCATGAAAAATAGTTAGTTATATTACATATCACGTATTGAAGGTCAAAACATATTACAGGCATGATAACACCAGATGCAGTGCAGTTGTACCTGTTGTGTTGGAAGATATTTCCGCCGGTAATTAAAAATTGCATCCTTCTCCCTTACATCACCAATGCCATGAAATTGAAGCTCCACCTGGCCATTGATGCCATTATATTAATACCTAATCAATAATTAGGCTAAAGTCTGGGAGATGAGCTATATACAATGACAGTTACAAAACAAATAGTATATCTCATTGCTTTCATAAATCAATTTTTTTATTGTTCTTATTTAGCACAAAGGCAATAACCAGAAGTTTGTATTCTTAAACTTGATATTTTAACTGTTAAACTTCCATCTCATGTCACTAGTTAATTCTTTTTGAAAAAATGGAAAAGTTAACAGCATCCAAATGCACAGTAGTCACAAGCAAACTATGATATAGCAATGGCTCAAGCTTTAATAATTAAAATAATGACAATAATAATAACTTTTAAATCCATGTGCGTATTCTCAAATGCAAATATTAATTTATAGTGAAAAAAACCTCGGTTGGCAGTAAAACAACAGGATGGCAATCAGATCCAGACCCCACATCAAGGACAATGGACGTAAACTCGCTTCCTCCTTCAAGAAATATTTCAACCAGGACTCGATCATCAATCCCCTATTAAAAATATAAAGAACACATGATTCATAAGGTAACATTAAAGAGACCTTCTGATACAATGTACCAGTAAAACATTTTCAGTAAAAGCATGATGAAACAAAAAGAAAGGGAAAGTGTGAATTTGTGATATCACTTATTTTAAAAGAGAAAGACAATGCTAATTCAAATTAAAGTAATTGGTTACTCTTCATATCAAATTGGTCCAATTATTGGTATATTAACAATAAATCTCTGAACCATGCATTAAGTAGGCTTGATAAAATTCAACTACCTCTAAAATAATTTCCTTAGCTTTTTTAAGGGAATCAGTGACACCATATGCAACTGTAACACCAATGCTTGATCCTGCAACTGCTGGTTTTACCTAAAAAAAGATATACTAAGTCAAGATCTGAATTTTATCAACGTGTTAAGATTTTCTGATCGGAATTGTGCCTCACCACAGCTTTCCCTGAGTTAGGATCCAAATGGTTTCTCACAAACCACTTTGATAATTCAGATTCATTCACTTCAGTTCCCTAAGTGCCAGCAGAAAAAACTGTAAGCATACAGATTTAATAATCAAAATCCTTAATTACTTCTTCTTCTTTTTTTTCAATAAGATATAAAAGAATGTATTATATTAAAAACTATACCTGCACTAAGAAACTAGGTACTGTTATGAATCCTTGTTTGCTGAGCTCCAAGGAGGCATTGTACTGCCAACAGATGAAAGGACAATATGTTAGCATCATCTTGTCAAAGCATCCATATTCAATAGCCCTAAATTGACTGATGATGCTAATATAAAAAATTAGCTATCTCAGTGTCTACAAAACCAATGAGTGTAAGATCTGCTATGATGATATATAAGAACCAATGACTCAATTATAGGATTCAATGCTAAATTATGTCTCATAAATCTATATGAGAACTAAAGTAACTTCTAAAAGGATCAAGAATAAAGTTCCTTCTACCTTATCAAATGCTTGACGACACTCTCTCGATCCTGTGCCAACAAATGGAACATTATATTTTTCCAACAGTTCCTGTAATTCGTCAAACATAACAATATAATCTAAAAATCAAAACCTTCCAAAAAAAGGATATCAAGTAAAATATGTGGATTTCCGTGTGTGAGAATATCATGTACAAAGGATTATACTATAGTAGACCTGAATGCCACCATCTTCACCAAATCGACCGTGTATTGCAGGAAATACAATATCTACAGACGCAGCAAGATGTTCTGCAAATTCAGACAATGACCCAAAACCTTGCGCAAGACTGCATACACAAACAAAAATAATCAGCCTCTTCACATTTTCACTTCTCAATTAACCATAAACAAGTAAATTTCCGACAAATATCATAAAACTAGCTTACCTTTCAAGTTTAAAATCAAAATCTGCAGGTGTATTTGAATATACCTAATAATAAGACTTAAATATTAGTAACACATATATTAGTTACTTAGAACTGTTACTTATTTGATCCTTAATAGTTAATTGTTATAATCACAATAAAATTTTAAAACAAGACTTCGAGAATTTTCTTACTAAAATATTGAACAAACCTGAGCAGAGGAAATTGCGAAGGCATTAAGATCACAGTCAATGTAATAGCAACTCACGTGCAAATCATCTCCCTAATCAAAACGTGAACAGTTAATTATTGGAATATTAATTAAATTATAATTACATAAAAAATGTGTAAGACGAGATACCTGTATGTGATCAAGCACTGATCTAGCTGAGTTAAGAGAAATTCCACGCTCAGCAGAAGGACCTCCACAAATGAGAGCAACTCTCAAAACCCTACCACGTTCTTCTTTCTCCACAGTTCGATCTTCCACCACCTCAGTACTGGCGCGTGTAACTCCAACTCCCGAACTTGCCATTTTTGAAGAGTAACAACAATTCTTCAACTTCCGATTCAAACTTAAGATATTCGGAGAACGGAAAAGCCGTGTGACGACAGCGTCGTTTCGGTCGCTGCGAAGTAAGCTTAGGCTTGAACCGAACGCGAGTGAAGCCATAGCCATTGGACGATTTAAGTAGAAGCGTTGAGGAAGCCTGATCAAGCAGTGACGTGTTTCATTATGTACACAAATATACAAAGAGTGATAGTAGAGACGAGAGTGAGGATGCAAGTTGAATTTGTTTGTTTTATAAATTTTGGCTTTAAAAATTGGTTTCAGGCGGCAATTGACGCCATATGAGGAAGTGCGTGTTCGTCATTGGCCGTTGGCGCTGTCGTTTTGTGATTGGATTTGTTTCTTAGTACGAGTAATTAATAATGGGAATTCTTGATTAGTGATGACAATGATTAATGAGATTAGCTACACTAATGTAATAAAACAAACTCCTCTAATTAAAAAATGAAGTACCAATTTTTTATAAGACCTGAGATAATTGAATAATTTTAAATTAAAAACAAATTTATACTTTTACATTAATATTATATTGTCTGATGGTGCGTTTATCATCCCCAATTCGTCTAATTGTCTAGATAATCCACGAATATAATCATAGCTATTTTAAGATAGTTGAATAATTTTAAATTAAAAACAAATTTACCCCAATTTGTCTAACAATCTGGACAACTCATGGATATAATCATAACTATTTTAAGATGATTAAATAATTTTAAATTAGAAACCGACTATCCCAATTTGTCTAACTATATGGACAACCCATGGATATAAGCTTAGTTTTGGCTCAACCTGCCAAATAATGTGATTAGACTTCGGACTGCTCGCTTGTATTTTGTTAATGTCATAGAACCAGAGTCGCTTGACCATGGAATCTTGTATTGTTCTGATTAGTTGAATATTGCCTTAAAATAATCCTAAAATTGAACAGCAAGAACAACAACTAATATTTGGAATTGGAATCCTTCTATGAGATAAGTTCTTTATTTTAATCTAAATCTAAGGCTTATCTTTTACCAAAATAAATCTTATGTTTACAAATAAGTTATTCTCACAAATGATCTAAATAGACTGCAGAAGCAGAGCTTTATACATGAACACTACGCTTTTGATGTACAGAATAATTCCAAGCAAAAACAAAGAACGAATGAAGGAAAAATTACTAAACATTAGTGGATCCATTTCAGGTCAAATCGTCTTCCTCTAGTACTTTGGCTTTCAGAGCCTCCTTAACCCGCCATAGAAGTGTAGTCTTCCAAGGATCCTAAGAAACAAAATTTCAAGTCAGACATAAACATTCACCAGAAGTAGCATTTAAGTTACCTTCTTCAGCTACAGAAAATCTGAAGGAAGCTCATTTAAAAAGTAATTGTGAAGAAATTGAATTGAAAAGCAGTTAAGATGAGAAAAGAAAGATATGGATAAGGTTCCATGTTTATAGGGGTAAAAACCAAAGCCTTTTTGAGGGAATCCCAATTGAAAATGAGGCAGATTAAACATGCTCTGGCCCTTCAACATGAAATGGCCTGCACTTCTCAGGATGGTCCAAGTTGAGAAGGGCACCCAAGGAAATTTAAAGCAAATGGCAGAAAGCGATGTACCAGCCGAGTTATGCTGTCGAATTCCTTGACAACATTAGTGAATTTGGTAACATCTTCCTCTTCGATTGCAGTAGCCAAATCCTGACATAAAAATAGTCTCTATGTTCAGCTAAGAGTATGCAATTACTCTAGAAAACAAAGATTGTGACAAACTCCAAACAGAATGGCACATTAAGGTCCTTGCAATACCACAATCAATGCATAAAAGCCACTACTTACAGCTAAAAACTTGTACTCTCGAGTTCTAGAAAATGTTAGATCCAAGTTCTGCACAACCAATTGAAAAGTTCTTAAAAAATTTACTGTTTATATAAAGTTCCATCAATCCTCGAAATAATATAATAATAAGAACCTCATATTGCTCCAAAGCATTGGTTATTGCAACAACATCGCCTCTACAAAGATGGCAAAGGCCAGCATTAAGCAGATGTCCTCTTACTCCATATTTAAGCAAGTTAATGTCGAGTGATTGTCGTGCTATTTTTTCATATATCTCAATCGCCTTCTGATATCTGCAAAATAAAGAGAATTCAGTTCCCTCCACATCACTTCAACTAATATGAGACCAACGGCATAGCTTATGGCTTTCTGGATAGGCCTCTGTGTTGAACTGATGGAATGTACAGCCCCAGAAGTGGATGCACTCTTACCAATTGCTGAAGTCCAATTTGAGATCATGACAATTTCTCACTATAATTACACAAAATTCTCAAATGCAACTTACTGTTCTTGTTGAGCAGAAAATTGAGCAACTTTCAGCTTGCACTGGTTGGCAGAGGTTGTTGCTTCTGCGTTTTCAAAATATTCAGCTGCCCGTTCGAAGTATAGAATAGCCTTCTCATTATTCTTCTCAAGCTCATATAATTCACCAATATCCTAGATGATCAAAAATAGTTATTCAATTCAGCTCAAGTGCTAATTACAAATTATCTATATAAACTCTTGTCGAATTGATGTATCATTACTTTTATATTACCACACAATTCATCTACATTAAATGCTTTGACTTTCTTACTTTCATGTTCTCATTGTGTTATATTAGTTTGTATAAAAAATTTGTAAGAGTAATATTATTTTATTTCAATATCTTTTATCTTCTCATAGAAACACAAGTCCATAATACAGACGCAATATACATACTCAAAATATTGCAGAACGGAGGTGAAGGAGAAAATTCACTCTAGAAGTCCAGGCCAATCAGGAGAAACTATTGATGTATTTTACTGATTTCCTAACGAAATAACAAAGTCATGACATGAAAATGTACCTTGGAATATCTTGCAGCAATGCTGTATCTGCCAATATCCACAAATATATTTACTGCTCGATCCAAGCATGATATAGCCCCTGCTAATACAGAACCGCTATACTGTTACTCTACTTTGGACTTGGAAATAAAAGCACTCAAAAGTGAATTGTTGCTCAAAAACAAGTATGAACTTATAAAAATCTTTTCTAAGTTTAATCTCGGAAGCATAAGACCATTTTTGACCATTCTCGAACTTGAATCATTTGAACTGTACTAAGCTGCTTCTTTTCCTGGACAGAGTTGATTACTTTTCTACCAGCAGTATCATTTGATTTCTAAAACTTCTAAAACATTATAAAACCCCAAAATTCAGAACATCTTTGAACATATTCAGAAAGAAAATGCCTAAAAAAAAGAATTATGTTATCATGTAATTAAGATATTGATTATATGCAGTTAAAGCATTCAAATTAAAGCACACCTTTGTTTGATGTTTTCTTATAGCAGTTTGCAGCATCTACACAAGCAGTGGCAGCTTCATGCTTATTATCCGACTGTACATGGTACACCAAATTAACATTATCATCAATATAATTTCTTTTCTAAAGTCCAGAATTAAAAGGTGGTGTAAAGTGATTCAATACTATGCTTTATTATATGATCATTTAACTGTGGAACATATACCTTCAAGTGACAATCGGACAAGGTGGTGTAAAGTGATCCAGCTCGGTCCCCTGAAGATTAGTAGAGATATCATTAATTATCTGGTTATATGATTAATTAACGTGTTAAACATGATCAAATAGAAGCTCAAAAAATTAATTCATTAATTGCACATACAGGATTTGGCGAGTTTAAAATGGTTGGCAGATTTAGCGTACAACTCAGCAGCATCATCGTATTTAGAGCCGGATAAGCTCCAGCTTTTTATTTTCTTCTCCGCTTTCTTTTCGAATTCTTGAGCTTTCGCGAGATGATCAGACATTTCTTCCTTCAGAGTTCAGACTTCGGCGAGAGGGCGAGAGGTATCGTAAAGGCAAAGTAAAGGGCGTAATGAGCAACAGAAGTAAAAATTAAAATGAGTTGCCAGTTGGATGCTACTATTAATATTCTAATTCTGTTGTAATACACGTGTCATTTATCTAGTTTGTGACACTATGTGCTTCATGTGTTTTAGGAAGTTTAATTTAATGGAGATAGAACAAATGAGCCGGGTTAGGGTTGTTTAATCTGGCCTGGATATATCCTGTCGGATTGGTTGGGCTATGGCGACCCAACAGGTTATTATTGCTTTTTTTCCAAAACCCGTTCAACCCGTCGAGTTGGACAAAAAAAAAAAAAATTTTAATTAATTTTTTTTTTCAAAAACCCATTTGACCCTTAATAATATAGCAGTTTTATAGCTGTTTGAAAAGTCTTTTTGGTCATTTTCTTTTCCTTTTTTTTTTTTCTATAAATAAGGCCTAAACTCTCTTATTTCCTTACATTCCAATTCCCAAATTCTCTCATTCTTTCATTTTGTCTGTTGAAATCTCTTAATCTCTTTGTTGTCAATTTGCTCTCATCTTAGTTTTTATTAGTTTTTGCAATTTTTCAATTCATATTTTCAAATTCCAATTCTCCTTCTTTAATTCTTTATTTCTTTTATATCCATTTTTTTTTTTTAAACTAGAATGGATAGATATTTCCATCTCATCAATTTCGATGATAAAGAAAATTATCCTAATCCCCCTGAATTTACTAATATAAATGCAGTAGATTCAAACAGTCTCGCTTTCCCATTCTCAGAATCCGATACACCTCATAATATTCTCCCCTTCCTCCCCATACTGCTATAGCTCTCGGTGGTTGTAAAAGTCGTCGTCGGAATTCGTTGTCCTCATCCAACTCTATCTCAAGCAGAAGTAGGTTCATCAACTATAGTCGGAAACGACGACATATACCCATCAGACGTTTGGATGCATTTCGAAAAGTTTTACGAGACAAAAAATGAAGTTCAAGTGAAGAAAGCAAAATGCAAGTATTGTGAAAATATTTATAAAGCTGATGCAAGTAATGATATTAGTACTTTAAAAATACATACTAGTAAACATATGAATCAACATGGAAATAGAGAAACCAATCAAACTCAAATAACTAATATGGGTACTACTTGACAGTATAATTTTGATGTATAGATGAAACAATTAACTTTATATATTGTTGTAACTAATTAACCTATTAATATGGCTGAAGATGACTATTTTGAAAGATTTATTAAAAATTCATTTTTCCAAGATTTAAAATTTATTCTAAAACTGCAACTAGAAATGATTTAATAAAATTGTTTAGAAAAATGAAATTTGAATTAAGAAATAAATTACATATTTGTCATGTTAGTGTGGCTCTAACTGTTGATATTTGGATTGGTAGAGCTAAACAAGATTATATTTGTATGACTAGTCATTATTTTGATAATGAATGTAAATTAATTTAATTTTTATTGGGATTTAGATTAATGGATGTGGATCATAGCGGTCAATAAATTTATAATAAGATTGTTGAAGTTTTAGAAGATTATGATATTGTTCACAAAGTGATAAATTTAACTTTAGATAATGCAAGTACTAACAGTAGAGCTATATGTTTTTTTAAAAGTAATTTTCTTTTTTATGGCAATTTGAAGTTTTTTCATAAACGTTGTACATGTCACATTATTAATTTAATTATGAAAAGTGGTATGAAAAAAATAAGAAATAATATTGATAGAATTAGAAATTCTTTAGCTTGGATTATTAGTAATAATAGAAGAAATGCTGAATTTCAAGATGTTTGCTTAAAATCAAATATGTCTCCTAGAACTTTTGCATTAGACATGCTTGTTAGATGGAATAGTACTTATTTAATGCTTGATTTATGTTTACCTTATGCAAATTTAATTGATTATTTTGTAGCAAATAATAGGAGTCCTCATTATTTGGCAGACAGTGATTGATTATAGCTAAAAATTTTCATTCTTTTCTTAAATTTTTTTAGCAATCTACTTTAAAACTTTCTGGTGTGTATTATGCTACTAATCTATTGGTAATATATACAATTATAAAAAATTCAGATTTATTTAAAAAAAAAACAATGAAATTTTAGTGGGACCAATAGAGGCAATGGAATTAAAATTTAAAAAATATTAGAAACCCATCCTTTTTTTTTTTTTTTTNTTTTTTTAAGAATAGGTAGATATTTCCATCTCATCAATTTCGATGATAAAGAAAATTATCCTAATCCTCTTGAATTTACTAACGTAAATGCAGTAGATTCAAACAGTCTCGCATTCCCATTCTCAGAATCCGATACACCTCATAATATTCTCCCCTTCCTCCCCATGCTGCTATAGCTCTTGGTGGTTGTAAAAGTCATCCTCGGAATTCGTTGTCCTCGTCCAACTCTATCTCAAGCAAAAGTGGGTTCATCAACTACAGTCAAAACTGACGACATACACCCATCAGACGTTTGGATGAATTTCGAAAAGTTTTACGAGACAGAAAATGAAGTTCAAGTGAAGAAAGCAAAATGCAAGTATTGTAGAAATATTTATAAAGCTGATGCAAGTAATGATATTAGTACTTTAAAAAGGCATACTAGTAAACATATGAATCAACATGGAAATAGAGAAACCAATCAAACTCAAATAACTAATATGGGCACTATTTGGCAGTATAATTTTGATGTATAGATAAAACAATTAGCTTTATATATTGCTGTAACTAATTAACCTATTAATATGGCTGAAGATAAATATTTTGAAAGATTTATTAAAAATTCATTTTTCCAAGATTTAAAATTTATTCTAAAACTGCAACTATAAATGGTTTAATAAAATTGTTTGGGAAAATGAAATTTGAATTAAGAAATAAAATACATAGTTGTCATATTAGTGTGGCTCTAACCGCCGATATTTGGAGTGGTAAAGCTAAACAAAATTATATTTGTATGACTAGTCATTATTTTGATAATGAATGTAAATTAAATTAATTTTTATTGCGATTTGGATTAATGGATGTGGATCATAGCAGTCAACAAATTTATAATAAGATTGTTGAAGTTTTAGAAGATTATGATATTGTTCACAAAGTGATAAATTTAACTTTAGATAATGCAAGTGCTAACAGTAGAGCTATATGTTTTTTTTTAAAGTAATTTTCCTTTTTATGGCAATTTGAAGTTTTTTCACAAACGTTGTGCATGTCACATTATTAATTTAATTATGAAAAAAATAAGAAATAATATTGATAGAATTAGAGATTCTTTAGTTTAGATTATTAGTAATAATAGAAGAAATGCTGAATTTCAAGATGCTTGCGTAAAATCAAATATGTCTCCTAGAACTTTTACATTAGACATGCTTGTTAGATGGAATAGTACTTATTTAATGCTTGATTCATGTTTACCTTATGCAAATTTAATTAGTTATTTCATAGCAAATAATAGGAGTCCTCATTATTTGCAAACAGTGATTGATTATAGCTAAAAAATTTCATTATTTTCTTCAATTTTTTTAGCAATCCACTTTAAAACTTTCTGGTGTGTATTATCCTACTAGTCTATTGGTAATATATACAATTATAAAAAATTCAGATTTATTTTAAAAAAAGAAATAATGAAATTTTAGTGGGACCAATAGAGGCAATGGAATTAAAATTTAAAAAATATTAGAAACCCATTCCTTTTTTTTTTTTTTTTTTTTTTTTTTTGGGTTTAGCTACCAATTTGATCCTAGAATTAAATTAGCGTGTTTAGAAAATGGTTTTAGACACGTTAAATGAAAATTTACGAGACGAAGCATATGCCAATCAACTAAGAGAGATAGATTAGTGTCTTGCAGAGGTATATTGGCAATATGAAAACGATATGGGAACCAACAAAGAGCGAAATACTTGAGAAAGTAGCATCAGAAGCCACAAATGAAGACTTCGCCTATTGGACTGCACTTAATAGGTCGAGAGGACCCAAACCCAAGCATACGTCCTCTTCAGAAGCTCACAATACAAAAATACTGTCCTCCACATAGCTACAGAGTATGAGCTTCATCAATATTTGGGAACCCCTGACATGCTACCAATAGATCCACAACAAAGAGCCAACTTTGATATCTTAAAATATTGAAAATCATAAAAATGTTTTTTTCTTCTGTAGTATCAGACTTGCCCTAGATGTTTTCTTCATTCTCTTGTCTCAACCGTCTCATCCGACAAACATTTATGCAGTAAGAATTTAAACGACAGGGGACTAAACTTTCACCAAAATTGATTGAAGTCCTCACATTCTTCGAATTGGGAACGGTCGCTCCATCAGGATCAATACGAGGTTGTCGACGATACTTAATATAATCATTTCAATTTTGTATTTAGATGATACAGATGAGGGAGATCCTAGTCAACCCTTAAATTAGTTGTTTTGTAAATTGTAACTTTAATTTGTAATTAACAGTCAATTATTGCACTTTTTTTTCCTTACCAAGTTTTTGTTCTAATTAGGTTTTTTCTTGATAAGGTCTTTAACGAGGTAATAATTATTGTATTTCTTATTTCTTATTTAATTTTTGATGAATGAATAAATCTAATTTTCTTCATATTATAATAATGTATTACAATTGAATTACTATTGAAATGTTAACAAAAAAATTAATTTAATTGAATTATTGATATTTGAAAGTTAGCTAAAAAATTACACGAAAGAAAAATAAAAAAAATTCCAAGTCGGCCCGGCCTAGCCCGCACAAAAACCCGTCGGGTTAGGGTTGGTGGGGTCAGGCTAGGCCAACCCCTTATGGCCAAAGAGGTGGGCTGGGTTGGGTCGGTTTAGGCTCGACCCACATTTGGCTTAACCTGCTACGGGTCGGGCCGGCCGGGTTAGGCTAGTGGGTTACCTTTCCACCTTTTAATTCTTAAAAAAATCCTAATTAATTCATCTTTGCATATTTATTTAATTAAAAATATTCATATCTCAAAATCCCTATTTTCAAGTGTAAATCATTCTAATTAGTTCATCAATTTACAGATAATATTACATCAATGATGTATTAATAGCATAT